TGTAGCCCCCTAAAAACAGAAGGAAATTATACGCACAATAGAATCCGTTATTGTTCTGTACTCGTAATAGCGGCTTTTGTAATCAGTCGTTTAATGTTAAGGTGTCAGTATTAACATATCTCAAAACGTGTTTTTTAAAAAAGCTTATAAAACGTCGCTTATTGTAATTGGAATTTCGGTTACTGTTATCCTTTTCTACAGTTAAATTGAGTATTTTTAAGATGTCTTTTTTGCGGTCCTCGTTATCAATTATCATAATCTGTTTTAACTAGAACTTCAAATGTCAATCGTTTAGCATTTTAATGATTATTTGATAACGGTACATTAGTTTAAATAGATCTCATTTATTGTTATTTAAGGTTGCACTACAAAACTAGCAGGCAATCAATGCAGGATGAATTACTATTAACTAATAATAATAATTACTAAACATTCGAGTTATGCATTTTTTATGTGGATTTAGCGTCTCCCTTTAGCATCAGAGTTAATAATATTAGAATTTCCGCTAATTGTCTGATTTATTCAACTCGCTTAATGTTATCAATAGACAAATTCCAAAATGGTTACAAATAGGAGCACTCTAAACACAGCATTAAAAATGTTGGAGGAATATTTAGCAATTCCCCAATGGTGTAACCATAATTTTGAAGTCCCTGCAAAATATTTTTTGGGGGGACAGTTAACAAAAGCAATATTGCTGTATTAATTAATTTCCGAGAAATCGCCTTCTTTTCCTATTCTGCCCGATACTGTTGTTTATCGAAGCTTTCTAAAATCCTTTTTTTGTTTCTCAGATATATAGAGACAGAGATCAATTTCGAAAAATTATAAAATATTGATTACTCAATGGAATAACAAATTCTTTTGAAAATTTTGATTTTTTTATGCTTTCCTCCTCTATCTTTAAGACGGATGCTAGTGATAAAATCTTTCATTTACTCTTGTTTATCATTTCTATCTAGACTACTTTGGAATAAAAATGATCAATGCATTGATTAACTGGCCACTATTAGCCATGAAAATGTTAATATACCATTCAAACTTTCAATTAAATTTATGCATATCCTGTTAACTGCAACCGTTTCGGCAAGCTTTCTCTTAAGACTTAAGAGGTAGCTAACATAGTCAGGAATAGTAGCCCTATGTAATAAGACATATTCGTCAATGTGGGAGCCATTTTTTTTGACGAAACTGTCATTCTTTCCAGGTATTCGTAAGCGGAAAAATCTTATATAGTATTAGCTGTTTTCTCACAGTAATGACAATTTACGTGTAAAGTCAATTCAAAAATGTTTTGCACATTCAAATCCTAAAAAGTATACTACACTTATTTTTCCTCACACAAGTATGAATTGCTAGTGAGTTTCCAATTGTCAGTGTTAACTGAGAAACATTCTCCTTCTTAACCAAAAAGAAAAACAGATTTGCAGCCAATTTTTTTCTATGCTAATCCATCGTAAAGCTACCCGATGTTGTATTATTGTTTATTTTTTGCGCTTTGAACTATCCGAACAGCTAATATCGTATAACAGTAATAGGAGATTGCAGACGAAATATGGCGTCCTTGTATCACTTAAGTTCATTAGCCAATAGAAATCGGTTAGAGAGAATGCTGGCCTCTAGTCTGTAATAACGTCATAAATATGCAGAGTAATCCCAGTAGGCGCGCGATACGTCGACTATGCACTTTCCGCATAACTGTCGCTTCCGCTGGTGTGAATTATTTGGAAAGATGCAATAGCAGATAGGCAGTCTGCGGCTGCCACGCCATCATAGGGGATGCTGCTGGTTATGTTCCTCAACCACAGACTTTTTTTCAAATATGAATTATTACATTTAAATTAGTATACCATGACAATTGGTGTGGCCAACGTTCCGCAGATACAGGGTGTAGGTACAGATTCCGCGAAAAAATATTTTTTTTTAATTAAAAATTAAAATTAAATTTTTTAAAATAAATTTATTTATTTTTTTACGGGAAATAAAATCCTATGATGTCCTGTACACTATTACCAAGTTTGATAACATTCTGTCCAGCAGTTTTCATTTTATGACCATTTCAAAGTGGAACTTTAATTATAAACACCGTGTATTTCGTTCGTCTGAACCTGACTAGCACAACTCCACGCCACTACAACTTCAAGTCCTCATCCTTTTACTGATACAGTTTGTTGCAGGCGTTCTGATTGGAACACAAGAGCCACCTTGATAATACCCTCAAAAGCGCAATAAACTATGTAAAATTTTGTAATAATTCTATGAACAGATTCTTGAAAAACGGGAGATTTACGGACACAGGAAAATTTGAGAAAATCGGGTATTAAACTCGTTAACTTGAAACTCTCTAATTCGAAGTCGGGATTTTTTTTTACTTCTTAAATTTCAATTTAACGAGGTTTTGCTACAACTGAATTTAATACCATTTCGCGTAATGGAAAAAAGTTTAGTACAAAATAGCTTGATGATGCAATGTAAAAGTAAACTTTACTAAATAAAAAATTTTAAGCAGCAAAATTCGATCAAAAGTATTTTAACATCACCCTCTTTTCTTGCAGCAAAAAGAGATAACTACCAGTAACTGCAATCGAACATAGAAATTTATACGGTATGAATGCTTAGTGTCAAATAAATATGACGGTTGTCTGAGTTTACGAAAGTCCGAGTTAAGCTGGCTTTAAGTTCTTCCCTGTAGCATCTTGCGTGCAGCAAAATGACTCGATATCATTCATATCCATGCTAGCGAAAGCTTTGCGTAGCGTTGATATGACATTAAATTAACGTCGTTTTGCTGCATGCTAAATGCTACACGCAAAAATTTAACTCCAACCAGCGTGTATCTTCTCCGAGGAAAAGGAAATGATTTATATAGACTACATTACAGTAATTTATTATGATTAGCTGCATACAGAAGTTTTACTAATGTAATACTGCTACATTTATTATTACAGAATTTAAGATTCCTTTAACAAATGAAATTAGGACTTTTTATAAATATAAATAGGATAAACCTAATTAAAACTTAATAAAAGTAATAATTGAACATTAAAGTATATTTATACATGGTATTGTAGAAAATTTTGGTCAAACTTTAGAGGTTTATAGAGTGGGGAAACCTGAATTAAAAATGTTGACGGCCGTGTTTTGATCTGAACCTTAACTACCAGTTATGAAACATCGAAGTGTAGTGACGTCATTTCCGGTTTTAAGTATAACTATGTAATATATTAGTAATCATAATTTCTTCAGTAAACTCATTTTTCAGTTAAATTCAAAGTAATATCCTCCTACAGATTACCAGTTCTTCATTCAAGAAATATCTGTAAGTTTGGTCTATGAATTAAAGGCAGAAAAAATGAGACTATCAAATAATAATCAGCTACTCCGACAAAAGTTTCAACTAAACTGTTGCTGATATCGAGACTTGATAGCATAAGGATTTTCCTGATGATTGTTGTGAAAATTCACAATTACATTTTCATAACATTGAGTGAATATCGCTTCATGTGTGAAAAACATATTCCCGAGAAAACCAGGATTAACATTCTTTCGCATACATCATTGACAAAATTGAACTCTTGAAGAAAAATGGCGTGACGCGCTTACACTCGCTGTAGATAGTTGAGATACAATTAGTATTCACGAAGAATACGCAGTACACTTGAATGGTAGCGTCTATTATTCTAGTATTTATCTTGTAATTGTAATATACTTTATCTTAGCCAAGTTGATAGTGACGTAGACAATATGATGTCACAAAAATCACCGTGATAGATGAACTACCAAAGAACGCCATTATACTTACACACAATATAGTTACATCAAAATATTTATTTACAGCAGTCCTTACATTATAAAATTACTCACAATAAGCAACACAGAAAGTGTTATAAATATTCAAAACCATCTGTCTTTTACCACTGTTCGTCGCCTTGCCTTTTTTTTGTGCTTGGTAAACAATACTTCGCTCTCAGCAATCTTGAACAGAATTGAATTTCCCACTCCATCATGATTTGAATTTTTATTATTGTATACTGGTTTTTAGTTTTCATAAGTTAATAGTCTTAAAGTAAACAAAAAATTATCGTGTTGTAAATGAATTTTTGATGGAACTTTATATTGTAAGTATATTAGTGTATTTCGGCAGTTCACCTAGCATAGTAATTTTTGTGACGTCATTTCTTCGTCACAATTAACTTGATTGAGATATAGTTTTTGTTTGTTGTCTTCCGATAAAGAGCAACATATAATTATATTATTTTCATGCATAGTATTAGATGATATTTCCATAATTTTGAATGTTGCAAACATTCACTTACATATATTACTTTATATAATTGATTTATTTTTAGCGAATTCAAAAATTTTTTAAATAATACAAATTCTGAATAAAATATAAAAATGAATCGAAGGTGTAGTAATTCATTATATACATTTTTAAAAATTATTTTATTTTAAAACAATAATTGCTGTTAATATATGCTTGCATTTGCCAATTTTACAGTTCCTATTGCTTATAGATTAATAAGTTATATTTTCTATGCAATCGAGACTACCGTCTTTAAATGTGAACACAAACTTCCCATTCTTATTTATTCATATTCACGTATGATAACGAAGCCATACAAAATTGAATGTTTTATACCAATAAATGTTTCACTAGCAATAAAACACTACCTTATTCTTCTCTTTCTGATAAATAAATATTCGTAAGATATATCTGTTTATTTTGATTTTTTACAAGACGTAATTAACAAATAATTATTAACGCCAAAAACACACATACTATACGATATGAACAGTGCTTTGCACGGAAGAAATGAAAGCAGTGATGATTACGATGAAATTCCGTATTTGTAAGTAAAGAAAAATTGTCGTGAAAATTACTACAGAATTTTAATGTTACGGCGTAAGTTTGAACGTTTCTCTATAAATTTATGTTACAACAAATAACGAGAAGAATATAATTTCTAAAAGACATTAGTAAAAAATTTTAATGTTTTTTATAAAAATATTTTATTTGTAGCTTATTTGTAAAAAGAGATGACAAAATAACATGTTTGGGTATTTATATAAAATAAAATGGTGCCGATCATCTTTTCATTCGAAATAGTACAATTATAAATTATTAATAATTCCAACTTTTTTCTTTATGAAATATGTTTTACTAAACTTACAAACAAGATTTGAATCAATTAATTTCTTTTTTTAATATACAATTAATTGTATGTAAACTTTATTATTTGCGATGCGATTGTGAATGATTTTCGGGTTTGTTTGGCAAAAGATTCTTATACCATATGGAATCTAATCCATTCTAAATATTCGGTAACTCTTGTATAGACGCCTGGAAACCCGGGATCGGCGCATCTGACTCCCCATGACACAATTCCTACCACCATCCATCTATTATTGCGTGCTTCGACCATCAGAGGACCTCCGGAATCTCCCTAAAGAAAAATTCATTTGTTTGAATAACGAATTAAATGAAGTTGTCTCCGTAATAATTATTTTTTAGTAATGTACATCCTATTATAAAATCAGAATTAAGGTATTTAATTAATATACTAACTTGACACGAATCTTCTTTTCCCTGTCTTACCCCTGCGCAAAGATAATGACGAGTAATGGCTTGAGAATATTTACCGTCGCATTCGCTGTTATTCCATATAGGAAGAGAAACTTGACGAAGTACATCACTCGCGACACCTCCTAAAATAACACAATATATTGCCAATTATCCGTTATGCTATTCTATTTAAAATAGATTTTAATACTTGCTAGATTTAATAAATTTGATACAAAAATTTCATTAAAATCTACTCATATTAAAGGATTACGCTATTTCGAGATAAACGTGAATAATGAGCTCATTATGAACCTCGTTATAGCGTTTAATGCTACGTCAAATGAATATTTTAAACATCGAAATTTCAGTTATTTAGTGTATATTCATTTTAACAATCAAGCGAAGTTTCTCCAGGAAAGGTTGCGCCATTGATCCTCGCTTTTTAAATTTACATCTGTTTTCCGACCTTTATGTGTAAGAAAGTATTCAATTCTCATCCCTTCTAGTTTTCCGCTAACGACATCAGTGCTTTAGGTTCGCTCTAACGGACAAAACCGATGTCGGTCAAATGTCCCTTAAAATATGTGTTATAAAATCTAACGAAATCCTTAAAACGTGAGAACAACAAAGTGTAAAAATTCGTATAAAAAATTTATTGAAAATCTTGTTAAATCTGAGATGATTTGAAGAATCCTTCCGTTGTAAGAAGAAAAATTCAATCAATATTTCATTCTTTTTAGAATTATATTTCTTACGTAAAGCTAACTCGGAATAGACCTGTCTATCAGAATTTCAAGATTATCGTCTCATTAACAGTTAGACTTCATAGGAGTATTGTTAGATCAATATTGAAACAAGAACTCACTATCTTGTCCTACAAGTTTTCAGAAGCCAGTTTGGAAGCTGAAACCATTACGCTAAATGTAAATTGACAAATTAATTGCTTTACTCTTAAGTTATTGGTAATAAATTTTGAATCGAGCGAAGAATCCTTACCATATGTCATGGTACCCCAACCGGCTACGATTCCAACCAGACCGGTATAATCAAGATTGGGATTGGGCAGGCAGATAGGATGAGTGTATTCGTTTGTGATGGCCGATCGATCTAACTTCAACAATGCGATATCGTTTCTATACGTGAAAGGATCAAACTGGGTGTGACGAACTATGGATACCACCGCATAATCTTCGGGTAGACCGTCGTCGTCACTCCTAAAATCGAATTCTCCCAAACGAACTTCCACATCCGACTCTTTATAACTGGAAATACAAAATATTTGGAATTCAAACTCACCAAAAGCAAAATAAATAAAATAAATAAATAAATAATATATCGTTTAGAGTTATCTCATACAGTTAAAATAATTTTAAATAATTTTAATAATTTTAACTGTATGAGAATTTTAACAGCAAGAGAAGGTCGTTGGTATGTTTGTTATCCACGCCGTAATATTGTATCACTCATTAAACAGATTAACAAAAATATTATAGCAGATTCTAATTTTGTAAAATCTGCAAATCGGGAAGAAAATTTTTCTGAAAGATTCTCCATAATTTTTATATATGATGTAGCATTAAATGTTTTGTTAACCAAACTTTCAAGAATACGTTTTACATTTGGAAAATGCGTTAACGAAGTGAAGTAATATGTGTAATATAATGAGAGCGCATTAAAATCTCACTGAGGGCGCCGCGTTGCCTACCCCTATCTAGTATAATCTTAGCAGTAATTATTTTTGCAATTAATTAATAAATCTTTAGTCAAGAAAGGGAGAAGCGATGCAGAAATAACAGTAGCTTTCAATCCATAAATGATGCACATATAAGCAGTCGCGATATCGGACATATTTTATAAATCTATTTTGATCACAATTACTCAATTTGAGCAAAAATTCCTCAGCTTCAATAAAGTGTGCTTCATATTTTCAGAGAGCGACAGTTTTGCCTGTGATGCTGTAACGTATAGCTGTAACTGTATAACACAGCATTTTAGGCTGGATGAATATTTACAAAACAATCTTTATCATAAGTTTGCTGTAGGATGATTTATATATAAACTATAATATAGTTTGTAATGATTTCGATTTCTAAATGAACTTACCCTTCCAAACAATGTGCGGCTGTCAAAACGAAACTTTCGGAAACTAAAGCTCCTCCGCAATAAGGTTTTTTTTTCTTCATCAACGCTGCCTGAAAAAGTAACTATCAATATTTTGCGTGGTAAGATTAAATATACGAAACTAAACAAAACGGGAAAAATAAGCGAATTCACTTCTACATGAAATCATCTCCGTTCATAGGAACGTACCATCCATCGCCAATCTTTGGGGTCCGAAATGATTCCGCCGACAATTTTCGTTTTATAATTATATCCGCAATCTAAAAATAGAAAATTCCCACTAGTATTGTACCGTCTACAAGCGCTTTGTTATTTAAAAAGACAGAAAGATTACCTTTGTAGACCTGAGGTGGGGTGGGTTTAGGTACCGAAGGTACTGTTACAGGTGGCTGAAGTCCCGTCGTCGGTCTCGGAGGTACTTGAGGATAGACGTAATTATAGTCTTTCCATCGATCGAAGAATTTATCGGGACAACAAACTCCCACTAATCTTCTGCGAATCATACATACTTGATTAAAGAAGTAGCTGGTGTCGTAAAAAAAGTCGGGCAGAACACAAAACTGTAGAAATCGACAGTGTCCTTCTTCGTCATTCGAAGTCTTACAACTTTCGAACTTGTGGTAAGGTTGCGCATCCGGTACATAAACATATAACTTTATGGCGGGTAATCCGAATCGCCCTTCCGATTCAGAAATGAGATCGGACAGTTCTTTAAGGGCCTTGGAATCGTTGATAGGCGGTCCTCCGCGTTCTCCGAACAGGCTGACCGGTTGGTTGACCGGTCTAGAGGGTTCGTAGGGATCCCATTCGGGTGGTTCTTCAGGTGGTTGTTCGTCGGGTGGCAATTTCTTCCTCAGTCCCGGAGGTAGATGCCCTCTTTCGGCCTGCTTCTGCAAACCCGGTGGTAGAGCTCCTCCCCTTTCGATCTGCTTTCTCAGACCGGGAGGCAGACCCTGGCCTCCTTTACCATTTCCTCCTGAAAGAAACATATATTTCCATTATAATCCTTATGAGTAGTCGTACCTATTCTGTTTTGTGGTAAAATAATAAAATAAATAAATTGTGAATAGCACTTAGAGAAACTTTGATCCTCGATGTACGATTTACCCGTCAAAAATTCGATTAAGGTAAGATATTTATTTTCTATATCAATTCCTTTTCTTTGCAAGAGTTAATTTTTATATTTATTAAAATATTTCTTAATTTCGTAATAATTTAATATTAAATAACAGCCGAAGAAACGTATTTTTAACTTATTTTCAATATATAGATATCTTTTCTGAAACATTTAACAACTTTTTGGAGATTTATACAAATGCAGATTTATTGAAAATGTAGAACATTTTCCAGTAATCTGAAATAGTAACCTGTAAAATAAATTAAATAATACGTAACCTATTATAAAAAGCACTGGCATTGGTTTGATTACTAATGTCATAGGGTGATTTTGGCTTTTGCAGTGGAATCAGTATTTAAATATGTTCAGAAGATAAAATCTACTGATAGTGCTGTTATTAATAGATATATGGAACTGAGAAGTAAAGCATAGCTAAGATTTTGGGTAAGACCAAAAATAAAAATTCTTTAAATGGGTAATGCATAATTGAAATCTCAATGAGGGTAAATTTTTTGACAGATGGTGAACTATAGGTGAATTATAAGCCATTTCTGTTGATGAAGCATACAGAGGATATTGAATAGTGTGAATATTTTAAAAATTTATGTGGATCTTGGCCGTCTTAATTATCAGACTTTGCATTTATAACCGGTGTTTTAAAGGATCCGCTTCGAGTGCGTTTCGAATCGTTGAGAACTTTTCGAGAATTTTTACAATTGCATTAATTCAAAATCAATAATTTAGTATTAAAAATTAAATTCATAAACATCCGAAATACGAGTATGTTACGTCAATGACTACTCTTTCCTGGACTTTAATCATCTCAGTTTTGATATAGTTCTATAGGTTAATAGGCGTTGATTTGAGGATTCGCTCTTCGAAACGCAACTCATATAAATCACAATCACGTTACGTTTAATTTATTTTGCATGTAGTGTACAGTACTTTACTTGACACTGTGTTCCAACTTTATTCTTTTAAAACGAATTTACAATGACTTTACACCAGAATTTTTTTAACTACATAATTTAAAGTTTCAGTAAATTCTAGCAAAAATTCAGTAATTGAATTTTAAAAAACATTTTTATTATTCATAAATTTCTACGATGATTTTGGCATTGATTCGCGAGAAAATTCAAGAAGCCACTCTCATGATAACTTTTATAAGTTATGATTAAGTTTACGATAATAGCAAAGACTACATTATTATAATGAAGGACTTTTCAATAGAGAAATAGCCTGGTAATTTTGGGACAAACTAATAGAACCTCTTTTAAAAACGGAAAGATTTGACTAATGTTCAATGTCTGCGAAAACTTTTCTTCTTTAAAGATATCGACTCAACCCATCGCATCAGGTCAGACTATGCTTTTGTCAACAAAATTAATATTTTTTAAGAGAATTTCCAATATTTGTCAATAGCCTTACGTTTCTCTTAGCATTCTGCTTTGTATTGTGAATCTTTCGGACACAAATACAAAGCTTTGAAAATTTTTACATATAACACTTTTCTAAATTCTATGTAATATGAGATGAAAAAAAAATACATTTGTACACAAAACGAGACACTATCAAGGGAAGAAAAACCATGTTGAAAAGGAAAAAGAAACAAATTCATAGTTTTTCATTACAAGGGTGAAAAAATGTCCTGGACTTTCCTCGGAAAAATTTTATAGTATTTTTTTCTGTTATTTGTGAATGAAACATTCACAAAATAACAGAAAAGACTGTTATTTGTGAATGAAACATTCACAAATAACAGAATGAAAATAGTAAAGTGAAAATGCTTTAGAACATAGGAAACCTATGTTCTAAAGCATTTTCACTTTACTATTACATTTTACTATGTTATTATTAAAATATATATTATTGTATAAGGTAAGTAAACAGCAAATTACATTAAACAAAATTATTTTTTAGGGCAAAAATCAAAAAAACTTATTGGTTATTAATAAAATAATTAACATAGAAAGAAATTAACCTCTCTTCGAGAATGATCACTTAATGACACAATTCACATATATTTTTGTTTGTTAATTTTTTTAATAGTTGAGTTTTAAGAAAATTAAAAAATTCTGAATAATTTATTTTTATGGATGTACTAAAAATTAATACACAATTTTAAGTACCAATGACCTGATTGGAGTACCAATGACCTTAAAATTGCTATTGATAACTGTTTTATCTGGAACTCATATTCTCGTAATGAGCAAAACAACTCTTTTAACTGACGCGGACATAACTTATATTCAACGATCTGTATCACTTACGATTTCATCTTGGCTGGTCTCCACGAAGCTATAACGCGCGACTGTTATTACACCTAAAAGATTGTTTAATAAATATTTTTGCATTTAAAAAAAAGATAAATTTCGTAGAAATTTATCTACAAAAACAGCACCGGGACCAATCACGAAAGCATTCACTGTGACATCTGGACGTACTGTATACTGTGTAATGCTATAAAATAGGACTGTCTTATTCAAAATAAAACGTCTGGCCATCATGCGACCTTGCGAGCTGGTCTATGAATTGCATTATATTACAATATAATGTAATACGACTGAGAAATATTCCAGAAACAATATTTTTAAAAGACAAACATTTTTCGAGCTCGTAAACGTGCCAAAATTTCTACTTGCTTTACCGATGCCTTGAACAGTTTCTTTCTAAAAATTCAATATAAATGTACTGTACGTAATTAACAGCAATGTTCTTTCAATTTATTTAAAAAGAATTCCAAACTCTCAATGTACAAATAGCAAGTTGGCATTACCCGGAGAACTGGTGGATGAAAATTTAACGCAGTTTTCTTGTGATAGCAGGTTTGTCAGGTTACGAATATTTTGGGCGTCAGACGGAACTTACACATCTCTGCCGTCAAAGTCAAAAAATACTTGTTTTGAATATTGTTTATAATCGAGTAATAAAAAATTTCGATCATATCTGTTGAGATAGTTCAAGTATCACTAGACAACAATTTAAAAATGCGAAGTTTCAAAACAATTTTTATAAATTGAATTTGTTTTGTATTTCATTCAAAACCGATCCAACGTTTTTCTGATTGAGTTAGCGGAAACCATTAACTATGCTCACAGATTAAGAGAGGGTCAGGAAAAGTACATAAATGTTAGCGATGGGGAGAGAGAGGGTCATTGTCTACCTAAACCTTTTTAGTGGTATTAGAGTCATACAGATTTGTCCTTACAAGCCTAATTACTTGTCATATAAATCAACTATCAAAAAATATTTGCAGAACATTTTTTAAGCCATTTCTTGATTGTTAGGAAGGTTCATGAACTAATGTATACGTAATTAAGCGAGAGGAGGTTTGCCAAAAGTATATCATTGTGCACGATAGGGAAAGAAAAAGTCAAAAACGGCTTAGAAACTTTACACGTAATTAATGGACGGCCTCTTACGTGATGCGTAGATAAATCTTAAATAGATAAATTTCGATCTTGCCAGATTACAGAATACTAATTGAAACTGTTATAGATAAACATTAACATGCCGACTGTAAAAAAATTAACATTTAATGACAGAAGAGAATGAAAGTACAGTACAGAATAATAATAATAATAATATTCCCTAGAAGAGGATAATTTTTAAAGAACAGTAGGATATTTTCAGATTGTAAGTAGAATAAAATTTATGATTTAAGCAATCAAAATTCAAATCTTTTTCGTAATAACGTTGAAAAATTTAGATTTCTTAGAAAAGTCTCATTTCGAGCGAAGCAATCGAGGCTTTCACCTCGACAGAAGATCAAGGCGATCCACACCACACATTATGGTACATAATCTGTGATCCACACAATCCTAAGTAGCTTCCGTAAACTGTTAGAGAGTAAAAGACAAGAAGAAAAATAAAGTAGAAGAAATACATATATATTACATTGGCTCCATTAAAAACTAATACGTATATATTATTATTATTATTATTGAACGGAATCGTAGTTAAATCGAAAAATAAGAAATAAGTAGGTTATATTTATGCATTAACAGAGATTTAGGTTGCATAAGGAAAGTCGTCATAGTTATGTAGATCTACTATAGGCTATATAAGTTCCCAACTTGTTTGAAACATTGCTTCCACGAAATTTTTAATAAACTTGTTTTATTAATAAAATATCAGGAAAGTTATCGTAAAAGAAAAAGTATCTGACGATAATTGTATAACGTAATACGTGAATAAAATAAATTTGTTTGTTTGCACAAGTTACATTTCTGGGTTTATAAATTCATTATTTCAATATTTAATAAATAAAGAAAACAAAATAATTCTATTACGAAAATATAAAAGTCGCGAAATCGTAACGTTACATTTGATTTTCGGTCACATTTTAAATCCGTTTTTCTAAAAATGAGACGTTCAAAAAAAGTTTCTAAGCTCAAAAATAAATTTTTGAGCCTAGAAAGTTTTCATCATATATTATCAATATATGCAACGAATCATGTATTATTATTTATGTAAAATAAGATTATATCTCGGTGAAACGAAATGCTGTCGGAGAAGAAAAGAACACATCGTTTTCATCCAATTATTGCTTAAGAAATTATTTTTCGTTAAAGATTCTTTTGAGCTAATCCTTTGCTTGCAGAGTATTATTAAAACCGTACATTTTTCTTAACATTTCAACTCTATAAAAACTCCAATTGTTTTCTTTCACAGTTATCAGAAGGAATTAGATATGAGCATTTAGAGATAAATTGACTGATTTCCTAACTTCCAGTTTTGATTCACTTGTAAATGATAATTCATAAGCTTAACAAAGGTTTAACATTCCAACGCTTCTGTTGTATATGGAGTTATTCCATACAGAACCGAAACGTCGCATACAATAAAATAAGACCGATTATTAAAGAACGAAATCGTCAGCTAATCTGCGTTGTTATTTTACAACAACAGAGGTGTCGTGATTTACTATTTCAAAATGGCGTAAGAAACAGCTCGTAGTAAATAATGAGAATAAGCATTCAACCGAATCTATACATATTTCATCTATCCATCGATGATATCAGTTTTTAAACTTATTGTATATTGTTTATCATTAAAAGAAGTAATTTTTAATTTAATCGTTTCTCACCGATTGTATATAATATAAAGATATAACTACTAAGAGAGCAAACACCATTCCAATGCAGTGGTGCCAAACTGTTCGATTGGCGAATCCAAATTGCTCATAAGTCGTAGGTAGGCGTTCCAAAGATATTTTGTTTATTCCATATATTGTAGGCTATACTAAAAGTAGACTTATTCCTGTTATTTGTAAGTGATACGTCAAATATTTTCTCGAGTTAACGTGTGCTGCGGACTGGATTTGGACACCACTGTTCTAACGGATACTTGTTTTTTATTCGTATTAAAACAGACTTTACATAGCGGCAATATTTAATCTGTTGTAAACAATCCTATTAATCAAGTGGTATCTAGAATAATCAGATATGCATGTGATGCTTTAATAAAATTGGACTAAAGTAGAGGAAAAACACCAAAGCTCTACCCCAAAAGTAGTATCCCCGGCTTATTTCTCTCTGAATACTCTTCAAAACAATTGTTTCGCGGATGAAAATAGTTATTTTGTCAGAAATATCGGAATAACGCTATCACTTTTTTTATTATTCGGCCAGATGGCAGCGCGAAAAGTTAAACCCTATCAGAAGAATCCGGGTTCTAATAAGATCGTCAACTTCTGATTTTTAGCAGACACTTAAGATAGGAGCACAGATCCTCTTTCTGACATCTCTTCCCGTCAATCCGGAAAATCGCGGTTCGGGCTTTCTCTAATGCGCTAAATTTAATCTTCCTGTGTTGACAAGTTTACTGCCGGAAATTTCATCGTAATGCATGAGGTTTCTCACTTATAAATAAGGTTGCGACGAGGTACAAAGAATGCAAGAGTTAGGTGCGGAATGGGTTGAAAGACCGTTTTAATAACTTTAATGGTACGAACGTTGGCAGAAGTATGTAACTGCAGAAAGAATTTATTTTAAATGTGGCTTTCTGTAAATACTTGTATTCTGACTACTCTGATTTACATAATTTTTGGAGTAGGTTATATTGTATGATAGGCCTACATAAAATGACTTTCTTTGAATTTTTCATTCTGTTAACTTTGAATCTTTGAACGCTTGAAGACAAGAGTTAAATCTATCAAGTTCATAAGATTCTGAAATATCAGCGCTTACCGACTGAAATAAAATTTTAAAATATTCAAAATCTGCGAGAAATTTCAGGTCACTATTTAATTACTATATTTACTATTTGAAAATGCTACCAAATTTTAAAATGAAATTTGTAAGTGTCTATTCTGAATTCGGTGCCGTCCCACGAAACAAAACGAAATATCGAATAAAAACGCATTGAACTTGTGCCAAAAATTATTATAAAAATAGGCAGTTTGTGTAACGCCTTCTGAGTGTAGACATTGAATGCGGATGTGGTCTTCCACTGAGTTCCCAAAGGTTAAAGACAGTATATTTGACAGACTTTGTTTTTTCCCAATTTTATGCTAATTAACTGAGATATTGATGGCTTTCCGAGAAGTATTTCTTCCTTTCTTCGAGGAAAATATTTCGTAGCGTAGTTGTCTGCATGTTTGTTTGATAAGGCAACTTAACATGAAATCATTCTGACAAGAGGTATCCTCCAGGGAGGGCTTTCTATGGGAAACGCCCCTACTCAGTTGTTAGATGAAGAAAACCCGGAAAACTCCGTGTGCCGGCTCTTTCGTCAGGCGCAAATTAAGAACCAGAGTTTAGTGATATTATCCACTCGGCCACTGACGACATCGTATAGCTGAATTTTCTCCAGTTTCTCGGTTGAAATGCTACCAGTTTTTTTTCTTTTTGTATTTTATCATCTTGTCCATAATAACGATTTAATTAATTTTCAAATTTAGTTTTAAATATTTTAAATTAAAGAATTAGCTTTAGCAATAATCGAGTAAATCAAGTATTTTTTTATTAATCTGCATTGTTTCTCTGTTTACACATTTTTATAACAAATTTTTTCCATTTATCGGTGCAAGACATTTTATAGAAATGTTCTCCTGTCCACATCCTCTTTTGCTAATCTAATTTATTTATTTATTTAATATTTATTTTTATTTTTTGCTTCTTTAAGATGCGTACCTATTTATCAAAGATGGACAGAAATCATACACATAGAGTAACAATACATCGTTTTTAACAATACTCGCGAGTAGTACGATTACCGTGTTCAAGGTCATTAATAAAAAGAAAACGTTCCTATATTCAAACGCTTCCTCTACAAAACATTTTCGTAATGCTCGAATATTAAAAAAAAACATAATATTTAACTCGAAATTTTCTAGATATCATTATAAAGTAAAGAATGTAGATAATAAAATAAAACTTTAACAACCCACCTTGTTTTTTCGCTTTCACCAGAGTTTCACGAAATAAACAAGATGCAAATATAAGCAAGAAAAATACTGTCAGACCGTACATTTTTCGGATATTCTGAAACGAATTAACATTCATTATCGCCTTGACATTTCGGAAATTCGGATAAAGCGAGCTGTCTTTCAAACAATGAAGAATTTACCTAATTATATTTATCAGTCATTCGTTGCAAAATTACTTGGGTTTGCTCTTAAGCGACTGTCTGTCCTTTCAAACGTCATAAACGTACTTGACCTGCGCCACCAGTAAATTCTCGGGAAAAAACTGAAAACCTGTTTTGTCGTGAAGAGCTTATTTGATATTCTTTGAAAGGCACTTCGAAAATCCTACAATTGTTAAAACCGGAATGTCGTCATCGATCAAGACGATAGTCATCCGTTTTGTTGCCACTCCACATAAAATGTATCAATTTTTATCAATTAATAAAGGCTATGGAAGAGAAAATGGAATAAATAAATAAATTTTAATATCAAACGAAAGATATAAAAGCGTTATGCCACAAGTAGGCTACTTTTGTAATGATGGTTCTTGTTGATTTACGCAAATGCAACGATAAACATTCAAAAACAAACTTCCCAAGAAAAGAAAAAATACAAATAAAACATTTTTATTATTTCCATTTTACATCGCATTTCAGGGGAGAAGGAAATTAAAATTGACATTTTGTTACGCATCATTATGTTAAAAATATAATGGCTAATTAATTAAGTATTGTTTCACAACTTCCCTATATTTATAGTTTTATTATAATAGTTGGCGTGTAATCGTACTCATTTCCAATTATAATTATAGACGTTCGTGTGTCATTTACATGTTACGTTATTCCATTTTTATTATATTTATATTCGTATATTTCATTACATTTAAAATCTCTGTTATCGAATAATTTCGGGGAAAAGGTTTCAGAAATATTTCTAAATAAATTAGTCGATCAGTCTTAAAGATATTAAATAAATCGGTTTGTCATAAGCATTTACTACTTAATTATATTACGAATTACATATAGAATCAAAATGATGTATGAAGTCTTCAGCTCAGGATTCATCCACTTCTTGGAAATCTGCGATGGACTTGAGAAATCCGTGAACACCGGCTTATTTCGAAATTAAAGTTTTAACAAAAATTAAAATTTTAAACCAATTTTTTCAATGTTAATTAAAAATTACTACTGAATGTTATTTTATTGTAAAAATAAAAAAACAAAAATTCCTTTAATACTGTAATTAAAGGGAAATTAAAGGGCGAACACAGTTACTAATGGCAAATAAATAATTAGGCTATATATCTATGACGTAATTCAACGTGCATATAGTCAATTTTGAAAGCAATAAATCGAATGCACATACATTTTTTCCGGATTCACAACAAAGGATTTCCCTTAGAAAATGTTTATCACCAGAACTTTATATTATTATTTTCTAGAAAAAGTTAAACATTTCCGATTTAGCATAATAAAAAAACAGAGAAAAAATGTTCAAAATTTACTTTATATACATAATTATAATAATGTGTATTTTCTGAAATCATTTCAAATAAGTCTCGAAAATATAAAAACAGATCTGTTTTGATAAACGTTAGATTATAATACGATATTGAAGATTGCTTTTATTTATCAATGCTTTTTTGTTAACAGTTTCTGCTCTCAAATTACGTACGATTTTTTGGTTAAATTAAACTTGTTTTCTACACACGACGCTTCTGGCAACAAAACAAGATATCTGACGTCACAAGAAAAAAATTGCATTTGTTCTGCATCTCGTTATCACGCAATCGTAAGTTACACAAGCGTCCAAAGAACGTTCTCCTCCTATTTTGAATTTTTTAAAATCGTAATTCTAAATAGCAATGCAGAATTATCTATCAAAGTTTAACGGATAGAACTCAGGAGTTAATACTAAGAATTACTGCTACCACTTTACGTAAATAAGTTGGCATAATTTCTTCGAATTTTAGAAGCAGAAAGTCCGAATAATTTCGCGACTTTTTGCATCTCTTCCTCCGCTTCTTTACTAAAAGAGCCAAGAAATGAGAAATACATTTATAATCCGAAATGACCGGTCATTTCGGATTATAAATGTATTTCTCATTTCTTGGCTCTTTTGCCAGCTAAAACGCTTACCGATAGCGTCTTCTCCGGTAAACTCTTTAATTTAATTGGACGACTTCGATAAATCGTTTAAGTACGCGAAGGAGAAATTCGTTCTGTTTTTATTTTGTAATAGGTACAACAGATGGCGCCAAAAGTAACCGAACGGTAAAAAAAATCTTGCGCACTTATTTTCCTTTTGAAGGCCACTTATATAACAATATCGATAAACGTTTCCTTGTTTTAATTATCAAACTCGATTAAAATTTCGATTTTAATTAAATATCTTTATTTGTTTATTTTTTTATTTACAAATTCGTTTAATAATTCGATTTTAAAATTATATTTTCGGGTCACCTTATTTAAGACAATAAATATATTTTTATTTACTGGCCTTATAGGCCTAGGCTTACTTAGAAGAGAGATTATACAAATAAATTTTTGGTTTAGATATTCTTGCGCTTGTATATTGCTTTGCTTTATTTTGAAATATTCACTATTTGATAAATCGTCTCTGTAAGTAGACACTGCACATCAAAAGTACAATGCTAACGTTTTAATATATATATCGAAATTTTACCTATTGGTATGTATATACATGTAAAACATCCGATATACATATAGCCTACCTACAAATGAGCTTTTCTAAAGTACGTACAGATTTAACGAGAAAAATTATTTAAGTTTTCGCCTACTAAGAAAAAAAATGGCATTATAAACACAAGATAGGAGGACATGGATAGCAATTTCGTGTTTACTGATTTCACGAACGTATTTTTACAGGAGCTGATCTACATCGTTGGAGATAATATGCCGAAAATGAAGGTTACAGTCTCGTGTAGTATGTAGATTTTGGCTAATTTCCATTTAACATTCGCTTTCAGATCGATAAGCGACTGTAGGTCAAGACATAAACACAGTTGCAAGAATTTAGAAACGAGGAAATTCTCTATAAATTATTCGATTAGCTCCTAAAGTTGTTAGCAGAAATTCCTAAACTCGTCGATCAGTTCGCGAAGGTGCACTGTTTTTCAGAAACATTAATTTCTACACATTCCCATTCCTGCAAAGTGAAATCGGTCAAATTGGAGGAATGCGCAGAAGTACCGTACTCTTCTCTACAATATACAAACACAATACTATCATACGAACATGTGACCCTAATAATCCTTCGTTTTCGGTAGATCTTCATAATGACGTGCAGCACGGAGAGCGGTTTCGTTAGCTTATTCTGTCTGGTGTTTATAAAGTACCGGACCAAATATCAAGCTTCCAGAAATCCGGAATTACCAGAAAATCGGCTATTTTTGAATTTTGAAAATTGTCTCCACATAAGTCGTTTTTCTGGTAACAATAAACGAAAGTCTCCGATTTGAATTTCGACAATAATTTAATTTTAAATAGCTATTAAATAATAATTTTAGGAAGAACGGTGTAAAAATTAACAAGAAAAAAAAAATACTGCGCAGTCAAATATTTGGCAACTTTGGACAATCTTCAAACAGGTGTTCTTTCTTTACTTCGAGGATGAATCTCCAGTTTCTTCGTACCAAGGATCCAAATAAAGACGAGGGATGTTTTCGTCCGAACACGATGTCTTGGGATTCCTATTAGAATTAAGTTTAATCAACTTTTTTCTTTTTAAGATAAAAGTATTATAATATTAAATATATTAACACCTTAAATATAAAATTTGAACCTTACCAATCGGCGTGCCTAATCAACACGTCTTTCTGAACTTGATGTAAGTTATCAAAGTTGTCGCAGAGGATTCTAGCTAAACTGGCTTTTCTTATCTGTTTTAGTTGCTCTAAAATTTAATCGAAAATTATTTGTAGTGCTTCATAGTTACAATGGAAAAATAAATAGGTTAATTTTCTGTAGTCGAAGCACGAAAATTAAAGTTAATTTTAAAAATAAGTCAATATAAAGTTAATGATAAGCTAAATAAGCCAAAATAAGTGATTATACAGTAAGACTCAAAATCCTCCCAAAGAACGCAGGAGACTATTTTAAAGAACTGAAAAATGCTGAAAAGCACATTTAGTACGAAAAACTTTATATTTATTTGCATACTTATTTGTTTACATAGCCTATATAATCTATATATATAATCGAGACGGGTTGATGATGATAATCAGAGCAGAGCCCAAACCGTTAGGAGTTGAAAGTTGAAATTTGGTACACAGTTAGGATACGTCACGAGAACGTATCCTAAGAAGGGATTTTTCAAAATTCCCCCCGGGGGAGAGGACAGGATTAAGACTTCAACAATGTAAGTGTTAAGAGAATGCGACTTGCAAGATTTACAGACGCAGACTCAGTTTTTTCGTTTTTGCGGGAAATCGAAAATATTTTTAGAACCATCTAAAATTTTTTTAAATTAGTCTGGAAACAGGGGGACCTAATTCTTGAATTCTGTGAAAACGGGCAAGATTGACTATAACGTAATAATCTTAATCTTTGTTGTCGTTACTTTTTGCCCGAGCAACGCCGGGCCTATCTGCTAGTTATAATATAATTTTCTGAACAATGAAAGTTACTATTATTAATAAAATAATTACAAAGGATATATGCATTGGAAAGATTTTGACGCAGACAAAAATCTTTATCATATTTGTGGAAAAAGTACACTTAAATATTCAGTATAGCCTCCTTTGGTCTTTAAAACCTTCCTAATGCTATCAGGCATACAATTAATAATATTCGTGCAAACCTGCAATATTATTTTGTTTCAATCATCCTGTACACGTTCACAGTTCCCATAATTGGTTTATTCTTTCAGGTGGAGCTGCATAGTCGGACAGGCGACGTTTAAGAAGGATCAGATGTGTTCAATCGAGTTGACATCAGGTGATTGAGGCGGCCGCTCAAGCAGGCTAATATTTTGATCCCGAAGCCAAGACACTGCCCTTCTGGATGTATGTTTTGGATCGTTATCATGCTGATAAATGAAAGGGCTCCTATGAATGTGATGATAATCAACAGATTGTCAAGTATCTTAGTGTAAATAACGCCATCCGTTCTATTAGGTATAGAACATAGCATTCCAGGCCCAAAATATGTAATAGGCCTACAGCTCCAGACCATAAGACTATCACCACCAAATTTTAATTTCGCTCAGTTACAGACTTCATCGATGTAGTCTATACCTGTTTTCAGCCATCTGAACCAACTATTAATTTTGGATTCATCTGACCATACAATCCTCTTCCAATCTTCTAAGGTCCAGTCTTTATAGCGTTTGGCTAAAGACGTTTCTGTTTATGTAATTTGGTAAGTTTAGGCTTCTTGGGTTTTCAAATTGTTACTGTGTGNTTTAAGAAGGATCAGATGTGTTCAATCGAGTTGACATCAGGTGATTGAGGCGGCCGCTCAAGCAGGCTAATATTTTGATCCCGAAGCCAAGACACTGCCCTTCTGGATGTATGTTTTGGATCGTTATCATGCTGATAAATGAAAGGGCTCCTATGAATGTTATGATAATCAACAGATTGTCAAGTATCTTAGTGTAAATAACGCTAGCCGTTCTATTAGGTATAGAAAATAGCATTCCAGGCCCAAAATATGTAATAGGCCTACAGCTCCAGACCACTACCACCAAATTTCAATTTCGCTCAGTTATAGACTTCATCGATGTAGTCTATACCTGTTTTCAGCCATCTGAAAACAGGTATAGACTATTAATTTTGGATTCATCTGACCATACAATCATCTTCCAATCTTCTAAGGTCCAGTCTATATAGCGTTTGGCTAAAGACGTTTCTGTTTATGTAATTTGGTAAGTTTAGGCTTCTTGGGTTTTCAAATTGTTACTGTGTGTGGATAATTCTCACNTACAATCCTCTTCCAATCTTCTAAGGTCCAGTCTTTATAGCGTTTGGCTAAAGACGTTTCTGTTTATGTAATTTGGTAAGTTTAGGCTTCTTGGGTTTTCAAATTGTTACTGTGTGCGGATAATTCTCACTTCTATCCTAAGTCCCTCTTTACTTGTGATCGCAACGTCTATTCGTTATCAAACATTTCTGTTTTGGCGCTCAACGTTTTCTTCCTGCCGGCTCTTAAACTTTCGTGATATGCTAGCTTACTATTTTGTATTCTTGATACACTCGTACGCACAACACCAACTTCTGATGATGTTTTCTCAACAGAAAACCTTTTCTTCAGCAGGTCTACAATACGAAGTTTCTCCTCACTGGAAAGCTTCTTCCTGATGACGCATATCAAGTAGCAGTTCATTTGCATAACGCGATATTAGCGTATAAATATACGCTAATATCGCGTTAATATGCACGAAATTACATTGTTTAACGTTGATGTTATAACAAATTACTTTATGCCTCAAAATCCCCCCATGCAAGAAGTAGAATTTATACAGCATAGGTATTTAAAAAATACGAAAATGATTTTAATTTTTTGCTATTATGTGAATATTGTAATAATCTTTCAGGTGATTTATTTTCTTTTCCTTTTACTTTCGCATATCGAATAGTTTTTGCTATTTTTCTAAAGTGCCGTATGTACAAACTTTGGGAGGATTTTGATCTGGCAAATATTACTACCTTTAGCTTTATATTAAATATGTTAATTTTTTCTGGTTGTTAAATTTGTAACGAGCAATTGAAAAGAAATGACTGTCTTTTGGCTAAAGTAGTTGTATTTAAAATTAATTACCCGGAGTAAAAGACGTTTCTTGTTTGCCATTCTCGTACCAAAATCTGTCTCCGTATTTAAGTCTCCGAAACTGTTCGGCAATTATACAAGCAAACGTCGGCCCCACGATGCCGTCCGACATAGGATATTCCGCAATTCCTGCCGCAAATAAATCTATATCATCGACCGATCTGAAACGAAATTATTATATGCATTAAATTAAAAAGAGTAAAAGATATATGATACAAATGTTAAAAGATATAAACGTTGCTAATCATTCGAGCATTAAACACACTGTTTTTTTCTTAGTTTTTTCATAAAATATTAAGAAATCGTTGTTTAGGCTTGTTCAATATGTAGTATTTACTGTAGGTTAAGCATGATCATATCTATTGGTAGAAGACAGAGTGCGCTTGTCAATGAATATTCCATCACAGGCGTGTGCTTGTGATGGAAAACTCCGTCTTTCATATGGAAAGACAAACAAACAAATAAAATTATACTATTAACAATAATAATTTAAATTAATTTATGTAGATAAAACATTCCAGAAATAGTACAGAAATAGAAGTAAAAATTTCAATGAAATGAATATATAGTCTATATTAAAAATAAATTTAAATACAAGAATAATCATACATATGTATTAGGTATATGACAAATGAACAAGCATTGTAGGCTTATTTGTAGAATAAAAAATACATTACATTTTATTGTTATATTTTTTGTAATAGAAAAAAAAATATCAATGGAAACTGACTTGTACAACCGACGGAATATATCAGCCGTTTGTTTTCCAGTGACTTCTTCCAACTTCGAAAAAGTTGTAATGGGAGTTAGTTTGCAGATTTTCCTCCATTGATTGTAGCCGGGAAGACCGTGATCCCTTCCTCGTTGGATGTTCATCGATATCAAATCTAGTCCAAATTTTTCTCCCGGTCTCTCGAAAAGATGGTTGGTCAACTAGAAAATACGGATATTTCAAAGAATTTGTTTTGTTACGAACAAAATTGTTGTGGCGAATAGAATTAATATCAATATTTTCTGAAAAAATATACTGACCTGTGAAGTAATAAATCTATCGAACGTTTGAGACGGCTGATCGATCATTCCTCTCAGTAACATTTCTATGTGATTCTTTCTGTATAACAATGCCGGATTAAATAAGTTATCGGAAAGAGAGAACTGACGAGTGACGACTTTTTCGTTCTTCAAATCGACTAGGCCCTGCATGGGAAAATTAATTCACTCGTTCATCGTTGGTCGGAATATTGTAAGAATGGATAAAGAACAAAAAAAATATTAAATAACAAAGTGCTTACTTGTACTAAAGTGTGTCCAAATCTATAAGCTGCCGTAGCGAAACTATTCAATATCGACGGTTTAATTGATGGATTGTATTCGTAACTATATCCCCTCGATTTTAAATTCAGTTTGAAAATATTAAACACCGTATGTCCTGAAACGAATGGATCGAACCCATACTCTTAACAAAAACTTACGTACGTTAGTTAATTATATTGATTGAAGTTAGAGTAAATTTTACCTAGTAACAACGGAAGGAATTCTTTGTAAGTGATGTGCTGGATTTGAGCAGCAACTACTCGACGCGATTCCTGATACAATTTCTCGTCGTCCCACGAAGGATTAATCTCCTGGAGTTTTCCTGCGATTCTGTTGTGTTCTCTTAACCAGATGGTGTGCATAATGGCCAAATTGATGTTTTCATTTACTCTTATATCACCTAACAATATAAAGTTTATCGAAGTTATAACTATAAGAATGTTTCTTTAATTTTCCTTAATATTTAAATAATATAATTGATTTAATCAAACTTTTACCAGACATGAAACAAAAGCGTTCTGTTTGTTTTCTTTCGCATTGTTCGTTTCTTTTATTCACTCTCGGTAACATCACCGCTCCATTTTGATAATTGATTTTCAATTTACCTGTCGTTATAAAATGTTATTATACTATACTTAAATACGATATTAGGTAGCATGGCTTTACAATTAATTAATTAAATATATTCATAATAAAACAACAAATATCTTATGATTACAGAAATACGAATATATCTGCAATAAAGTATAGTCTTTACTGTAGATAAATTATTTGTGAAGTCTGACAATTTACAAGCCTCACACCGAAAGAAAAGTATGTTACGTCAGTAAAACTTTGATTAGCGTTAGTCAAAATTCAGATCTAAAACATTACAAAGAAAAAGATTATAAAGATGTCTTTTTACATGGATTTTTATTATTACTAACGCGATACAACGTACCACCGCTGAAACTTCGTAATTCGTCCGCCACTTCTTTAGTCGAACCGTATATATTTGACCCATCGATGTAAGCTGTTAACTGATTCAGTTGTTCTCTCGCTCCTAGAAAATTAAATAGAAATTAATTCTTGATATAAATATAAACTTATTACGAGAACGATGTTAATTTAGATTGTTTAGATCAGCGGTTCCCAACCTTTTTTGGTTTGCCTCTCCTTTGTCAGCCCATTTTCCCAACTTTATTTCCAATTTCTACTAAGTTTTATTTCCGTTTTATTCAAACAGTGGCAACTTAGTCAATTAATTATACAGCGCTGTATAATTACATGTAAAAAACTTGTTTTTTTTTTAAATCGAAAAGCATTGGAGGAAGTGCACAGAATTTAAAATAAATATCGAGTGCCGTGACGTCGCAAAACGTTTCGGCGCAGAATCCGATTATTCTTATAGTAATCCGCCATTATTAATTTTTTTCGCGTACTGTAAACCACGAAGCGCGTACCCCCCGGTTGGGAATCGTTGGTTTAGATCAAAGATGGCGTTAGCTACATTAAATGTATGTCTGAAAAACACAATTATTAATTGTGTATCTCTTATAAACTATCGTAAAACGTATTTAAAGATATGTTTTAATTGTGTAAAAATGAGAGAATTTTATTCCTAAGCAGATAATCTTAAGACGTTACCTATTGTAAAACGTCTCTGCTTCTGAAAAGAATAAAAAAAAATTTTATCAGAGATTTACAATAATTAATTCTCTGTAAACCTAATATGAATGATATTAATTTATTATTA